CACACAGAGCCCTTCGGCTTTTCCTCCGGTCCAGGAAAAATCTGTGGCTTTGAAGTTTTTTATTTTTTTTATTTTTATTTTTTTGTAAAGAAGAAAATGTGAAAAAAATTAAAAAGGAAAAAAATACGCATGATGTTACTTCTCGACAAATGATGACTCGGCAAGATCAATGGCTCGAGCTAGAGCAGCAGCCTTGTTTTCACACTCCCTCTGCTCGTCAGCAGGATCACTGTCTGCAACTATGCCGGCCCCTGCTTGGAGATGGGCAACCCAATCCCTTCGTTTTCCACTGTCTCTGTAAGAGTACATTGTGTCGTACCTCATATTGGTCGGGAAAACAATGGTCCTTAAAGCTAAAGCAATATCCATATCTCCCGTAAAAGAAATGCCGCCAAATCCACCACTGTATGGCCCACGCCTCTTCACTTCTAGTTTATCGATAAGTTCCATGGCTTTCACCTGAACATGTTAGTTAGAGCGTTGTTTAGGATTTTCATTTTTTTTTTTTTCTCGTTGTTTTTAAAGCATGGAAAGTGACTTCGCCAAGAACGGACGGGTATATATTTAGGATGGGTCCATTATATAAACACAGATTTCAGGTTTCGCTTTGAAGGTTGAGAGAACACAGAATGGTAAGATGGTAAAAAAAATTCACTGGCATGACAGACCTTTGGAGCTCCGCTAACTGTTCCAACAGGCAATGCTGCGCGTAAAGCATCCCAGCTGGTCAAGTCAGATGACAACTCACCAGTAACCTACGAGAACATAAATTTAACACGAGAATGTGATAGGTAAAGGATAGTGGCACTATATAAATCAGGGTCATAGCAGTATCCTGAATATAAATGAAGATATCAGAGCAAAATAACTTCGCAACTCTTGGAATGAAAATGCTAGGGAAAAAAAAAAAACTTTTGGGCACTTCTTGAAGTAAGCTACGATCAGCAATGACCATCCCAGCATATCCACAAGAGACTTTACAGGATTTTTCATCTATAATAAAAAATAAACTATTTCTCAAGTAATAGAGCTCGATATACTAATTTCTTTTTCACAAAAAGAGTGTTGTGCAAAAAGATAAATCTCCAGTAAAAGTACATACAGTGGAACTGATGTGCATGACATGGGAATATCGTTCAACATTCATGAGCTTCTCAACCTTCACAGAACCAGGTTTCGACACCTGCAATGGCATTTGTGAGTGGTAAAAATAAGATTTTATATATACAACTCCACACAAATGAGCAAACTCGTACTTCATCTACGTTTGCTTCCCTACATTAACCTAATCATATTCTAGCTGGCTAAATATATCACTTTTCATAGTTTAAGCATATTAGAAAGTCTTAGTCAAGCAGAACAAGGTTGTGCTGCTTGATGTTGTGATTGCAAATAAATCCATGAGAAAAGCATAAGGGGCAGTGTTTAAGGGAGAAGGCGAAAAACCTTTCCAACATCATTTCGTCCCAAGTCAACAAGCATAATATGTTCTGCACACTGTTTCTCATCATGTAAAAGCTGATTTTCCAACATGTAATCTTCCTCTCGCGTTTTCCCTCTCCGAACAGTTCCAGCCAGAGGTCGATTGGTAACCGTGCCCTGTCATTGAACAAGAAAAAACATAATATTGTCAAAGATATTTATGATTGAGAATTGTAAAATAACACCTGGAACCTTTTCCTTCACAAAACATAGCTCGCGCTTAACCTCTTTCCATTCTTCCATTTCACTTTATTCCTTCTCCACTCACATTTTCCAATACAAAATTTCAATTAAAATCAATCATTACTACGAACTTATCTATAAAATTTAGTATTCATCCACTCACATATCTATAAATACCAATCATTATTTTACTATTTACTAATCACATCACAATTAGTTATGTTTTTTAAGAAATAAATAAATAAGTGAATGAAGTTAATCGTTACTGCACACAGTGCACATTTATATAAGAAAATTACAATTCATCCAATCACATATCCATAACTACCAATCATTATTTTACTATTGACAAATAACATCACAATTACTTATTTTTATTTATTTTTTATAAAAATAATAAGTGAATGAAGTTGAATTGATTTGAGTTCATATCCAATTGCACCTAAAATAAGTGTTTTGATCTTTCAAATCAAAATATGTCATAAGCATATGCATAGCCACAAGTTTCATGCATCTCTATTATATGTACATATACATACATGCATATAAATATATAAAGGGCTTGGTATTATATTTTAGGCATAAGTTTATCCAGAAAATAACAGAAGAAAAGAATTAGAGTGGGAACTGGGAAATGCATGAAACGAAATTTAACAGAAAAAGCATGAAAACAGTCTCTCTTTTAGAGAACAGTACTTGCCTTCTTAACTCGAGTAAGAATTTCAGGACTTGAACCAACCAGGATACAGCCTCTCGCCTAATCACCAGAAGGTAAATTCTTAGGTAGAAATGCAAAAACGAATCCTCGTGAATGAAAAAATTACAAGGAAGGTTTAAAACAGACCTGTAAGTAGGTCATATATGGACTTGGGTTGACAATTCTCAATGCTCTATACACTTCAAAGGGATCAGCAAAAGTGCGTCGTTCAAACCGCTGGCTGAGCACAATCTGAAAGATATCCCCAGCTAAAATATGCTCCTTAGCTTGCATCACTGCATTCTGGTATTCTTCACTCGTCATGGTAGACTTGCTCAAAGAAGGACCAAAATGGCTAGTGTATAGTTTTATGGAACCCGCAGAAAGCTTAGGGCTGCAATTAACAATAAAAGGAAAATGGACAACGATAAAGCCAAAAACAAATGAAGAAGGAAACAAAATGAACCTGAAGTGAAATCACTTACGGCACAATGTCATGCACTCTTGACACCAAAGCTTCTAATCTGTTCATCCCATTATCATAGGCCTCTTCAACAGAAGAAAACTGATCCAACCTGACCCAGTGTATCACATATGCTTTCTGAGAGAAAAGGTCGTGATGACCAAACACTTAATAAATAAGACTGCAAATTTGGTAGCAAGAAAAACTAGCTCTAAAAGTAAGATTCTCAAATCAAATTAGACCTTGCAAAAAGTACATTTGTTTCTGAAGTCCAAATGTCCTTCCCATAAGTTACTAGCAAACAGATATATTATAAGCAAATGTAAATGTAAATGAGAGAACATGAAACTATACTTGGCCAAATCGAAGTACTTGAAAGATTCTTTGCTTTTAGCTTCAGTGTATTTTCCATCTAACCAGTCACATAATTTTATGAAGTGATTCTATCAAATGAGGGCAAATTAACAAGAAAAGTGATCAGTGCAATAGAATGCAGTCTGCACGATGACAAAAAAAAGCTAAAACAAGTTAATACAGGTTAAAACCTTCAGGTGAATGTCAGTGCATTCTAGGGCCAAAATGAAAAATATAAAATAAAATAAAAATAAAGGAGCGGGAAAAAACCTTCTCCACATTATCAAACACTATAACATCATCATAAAGTCCCAGATGAATGTCAGGAAGATTTCTGTCATCTTCAGGAGCTTTGGAAAATGGAAGTTTTTTCTGCTCTACATAGCGCACAGTGTCATATGAAAAGTAACCGACCCAACCACCTGTTTGTGAGAAAAAGGATACACCTAATGAGTTCGTTATGCATTGTAAGTGGAGAAAAAGATCAGTAGGAAGTGATTTCAGGCTAAGCTTGTGTCAAGTATGAGCCTACGGGCTACAGATTTCATCATAGAAAATGTGGTAAGTAGCTAGTAAGTATTTCTTAATGGAGCCGCATAGTACTAATTAAATTTGGAATAATGCAAGATCAAATGTATACCGATAATAAGGTTTTTTGTATCCTGAGATCAGACAAAATCTCATTTTAGATAGTTTCCACATACAAATTATGATAATCAGGGGATTTTTATAAAATTCAAATTAACATGCACCAAAGTTTTATGCATATATACCACAAAATGCTTCAGGAAGTTCATTAATGCGTTGGGGTTTCCACTTCTCCATAATCCTACGAGGAACCACCATGGGATCCTCCACAAACTCCTCTGTCCTCTGTCCTTCATGATGATCAACTATGGTCACCATGTTTTCTTTTGCCACGATTTCCATTGTTGGCTGAGCTCCAATTACACTATATCGTCCCTAGCATATTGCGTTAACATTAGCTAGAGCAAAACACACACACACACACACACAAAAGAAATAGAAAATCACATTTAAATTTAACGAATAACAATTTGCAGTTAATAATGGAACAGATGTGACAACGCCAAGCAAGTGATATATGTTTACACACACACACACAACCAAAAGATGTTCTTTCCTTGTTTTCAGATACATTAAATGCCAACCAAGAGTAACAGAGTTGAGCTATAATTTCAGGGTTGAGGTAGGTCATGAAGAGCTGGAACAGTTCTATTAAGATTAGGAAGATGGAGAATGAAGGTTCTCTCAAGTTCTCTGTAACACATTGAATGCATGCAATAATAATTAATTAGCAGTATTCAACAACAATAAATTAAATGGGTGGTTCAATGAACGAAGTTACCTCAAGTCCTCTGTAACGTATCCAACAAAGGCATGCAATAATAATTCATTAACAACATTGAACAATAAATAACTAATTGGTGCTTCGAATTCTGGGAAGGATTGGTTACAACAACAACATACCCAATATATTCCCAACAGGTTGGGGTCTGGGGGTCAGTTGTACGCAGACCTTACCCTTGTAATTATACAAGGAGGCTGTTTCCGTAGCGACCCAAGGTGCATTGCGCCGTTTGATATATTTTTTTTTTCTAGAAACTTCACTAATAGAAGAAGCACTAGAATTTAATTGAGTCATTTTGATCTAGTCCATTATTAGCACTATGACTCTTCCAGCTCCATTTGCAATGGACAAACTGGGAAGGATTGGTTGACGACTAAAAAAGTTACCTTCTTGTTTTATTAATCGAGCAACAACAAGGCCTGAATGTAGAAACACAGCCTCAAACACCTCCAGAATTTCAAGCTTAGAAGGCCAATAATCAGAATATTTTTTGATTTATACGATTTAGATAACCAATGACTAATTGTGATCGAAGTATTCAACGCTGCTTGGACTTTGCAATATGATCGAGCTGTTTTACAAAATGAAAACTTATTACAGGTCATAACAATTTCCTGATTTAGTCGGCCAAACCCCAACAACAGTAATCTTTGCTAGAAACCAAGATAATAACATCAATGAAATAATATAATCTTAATTTCCAAAAGGACCACCAGATTACCTTAAATTCACACTTCCTAATTGACTAATATGAGGTAATTCAAAAACAACTTAACAAGTAAGAAAAAAAGAAGAAGCTTACGACACTGGATGCTTTCGGACCAGGCTCAACTGACTCAAAAAGAAAACTAGGGGCGTCTCTCTCATCTTCCTTCACCAGACACCGATATGCAAGCACTGGAGTCAAATGATCAGAAAATATGGGCTTGTACATAGGGATCAAATTCCCTTGTTTAGCAGCTTCCTTGAACTTGACAGATTGGTCCACTGCAACAATCATGGCAATTATAGTCCCGATAACATATAAAGTAAAGGCAAAAGTAAAAAAGGATCAACCTTCATTCCCTTCCATTTGGCCATCTTCATATTAAGACATTTTATCATGCGGCACTTGATTCCCCTCATAAGGAGTATATCTTATTTGCTATTTTTTATTACGACAGTATGTTGTCTGAAAATGTTGGAATCACTAAAGACAGCTATTAAAATCGAATCTACACATTCTTTCTAACGCGTACTTGATTTCCTTTACAACCATATCAACTCTTCAAAGAATCTTACTTTCAAGGAATGTAATAACATGCCCCNATATATATATATATAAATCTAGTCATCCATGGTAATGCATTTGATAATTGTCCCAAGTCAGTATTCTTCTTTACACGCATCAATACGACTAATTGGGGATGAGACTATGAGTTCTTTCCAACCACAGGCTCCACAGCAAAAGTTGGGGTGGGTTGAACAAATACACAAAAAAAAAACTGGAATAAATTGGAATTGAATCGAACAACTAAACCATTCCACACATTCACGCACGCACGCACACGCACAGAGGCGAAATATTAGAATGCCATATAACTTAAAGGGCGAAGATGACATAGACGACTAACCTAAGGATGGAGGTGAGCTCGAGCATTTGAGGGAGAAAGGTTTCTTGAAGGTGACCCTTGAGGTGTACCGGCGAGGAGAGAAAAGCGGTTGATTACAGGAGAAGGCTAGGGTTCCCATCTTCAGACAATCCAATCCTAGATTTCTCAGAGCCGATTCTACCAGCAGCACAGTACTTGGAGACGACGAAGAGTACTACAGAGTATAGAAACTTGGCTATTTGAAAAGAGCTTCCTGTGATTAAACTTGCCGGCTCAATTGCTGTGTCAGTTCTTACAACAAACAACTAATAAGTTTTATCGGCCCAAATAATATAGCCATATAGGTCAATTTATTAACCTAAATATTAATTCTTATGATTTGGAATTTAAAAAAAAAAAAATATATATATATATATATATTTAATTCAAGATTTTGGTTTCTAGGTGGGAGACTCGAAAAATTGGTCAAATGTCAATTTGGAGCTGAAAGATAAAAATTATTTATTTAAATATTTTTTAATTAGAACTCTATCTAAATATTAACATAGTTAATGCTCTTATTATTAATAATATAAATAAAACTTTTTGAATACAAACAAAAAATCAAAAAAAAAGATATGAAAAACATAATTAAATTTCAATACCCATCTTGCTTTTGTTTTCGAGCGAAATAGAATTTATGGGATTTTTAAATCTTTTTTCTTTCAATTTTTTTTATTTTTATTCATATATTTTTAATTTATAAATTGTATGTTTTTATAAAAGGCGAGGCATATAAAAAAATGGTTTTCCTTTTCATCTATTTTTTCATTGCATTTTACATTTAAATATTTTTTTATTTATCTTCTCAACAACCACGTTTAAAGTTGAAAATTGATCATTTTAGATTATTTTGAATCTCAAAGAGGGATTAATAGTTCAAACCTCAAATTCATAATTGACCTTTATTTTGGTTTCGAATTGATTGATAGCTTTTATCTTTTAGAATTCAACTGATAGCTAATTTATCTTCTGGAATAAGGATTGACAAAATTCCAGTCAACTAATCATTATGTTACTAATACACCTTAATTACATGCTATCATCCCCAAAACATAGACGGTTATAGGGTTGATACCCAGTGACAGATGTAGAAAATTTACTCAAGGGGACCCCATTATAAATATTAAATATTGATCTTATAATTTAAGTTAAAATACTCATTTCATATAAAAAATATATTTACTATAAATATAAATATAGATACGTGTTCCATCAAGTTCTTAAGAACTTAGAATCCGTATCACCTCAAACTTTAGAAAAAAAAAAAATGAGATTTCATATATTTATAATTTAAGTTCAAATTATAAAAACAATAAATATTTTTGGTAGATTCAAAATTGAACTTTTTGCACCACATTGCAGAGTATTTTTGTTGATAAGAGCTTATCAAATGAACTTTTTTTTAAAAAATAATATATATATATATAAATATGTGATTACACAAAAAAAGAGTAAGAATTCGACATTAAAAAATATAACAATCCAATTAAATACTCGATTTTATAAATAATTAAATCGATTTACAATTAAGAGAACGAAAAAATAAAATCATTATAAATATTTTCACAAGTAAAAATTTAAAATATAACAAATAAATAAAGATCATCTAAATGCAGGTTGTACAAATACCTTATAGTTTTATTTGTCATTAAATTAAAATTCTTTTATATTAAAAACCATCTCTACAATTTCACAACCTCAAAACAGATTGATTAAAGAAAAGAAGCAATATAAAGCAGGAACACCAGCGTGGCACTCCACGTCATCATCAGTCCCTTTCTTCCCTCCAAATCCACTGTGCCCGACGACGACACTAAGTCTGATTCCTGGTGGTCGAATTGGATGATCCCGTACAACGTCTGGATCCCCACCACGTCATCCTCTGTGAGCTCCACCTTCCTCGTCCTCAGATCCACAGTCGGGTACATGATGGCATCCTTATCCGACGAGTGGTCGAGGCCGAGCACGTGGCCGATCTCGTGCATGACCACCGACTCAAGGTCCACCGCATCCTTATCCGACGAGTGGTCGAGGCCGAGCACGTGGCCGATCTCGTGCATGACCACCGACTCAAGGTCCACCGCATCCTTCGACCCCTCCTTGGTAGTCCACCTCTCGTCTGCGTCCAGGTGGATTTCGCCCCGAGGACTGGCGAACGCATGGGCCAGCACACTGAGCACCCCGTCAAACGGGAGCCCATCCCCGTGGTCCCCGCTGTACCACCCAATCTTCACGTCCGCCTGCTCATAGTCCTCCGTCTCGGTGAAGGTTAAGGGGATGTACGCGGACCAGCGGCCAAATGCGCGGGCGAACGCGGCCCGCACCTCCGCGGGGTCCAAGTAGCTGACCCCCTGGTCGCCGGGAGACAANGGGAAGGCGCCGCCGGAGACAGCGGGAGAGAGGAGAGGCAGATGAGGGAGAAGAGCAGGAATAGTGATTTGGAACGCTTCAAAAACGGCCGGGGACATTAGATTATTAGATATATTATTTATGAGGAATCACAAATTTATGTATATTTTTGTTATGAGTAACATGCGCTCAGTTTATATTATAGGAATTAATCTTTTTCCTAATTGTAATAGGAACATTACAGGAATGAATGTTTTTCCTAATTCTAATAGGAATTTTTTTTTTTTTATTATTATTATTATTTTCCCTATATCCGTCAGAATTAGGTAACCTAGCTAGATACGATGGGAACAATCGTTCGATGAAAGTTGGAAGATTATTCTTGTGTGAGATGCAGCCGATACGAGAACTATATAATAGATGAATTGGTTTAATAATTAGTTACTTAATTTATTATTTTGACAAAATTATTATTTTAATTCACTATATTATATATATAAGAATTAATGTACCTTATTTTTTTCGAAAACCTTAAATATACACTCCACTCGTCCAGAAGACGTTCTATTAATATGTCTCACTTACTTTAATGTTTGTACGTAACTTTTAATTACATTTACATATACTAGTACGTTGCCCGTGCGATACACGGGAAAAAATATTTTGATTATATTATAAATTAAATAAATAAATAACATTAATCATGATTTACCCATTATTTATATATTAAACCGGGTTGGACACAGTCCGACCGGATGGACCGAGAACCGGTTTATAACCGATTTACTGCGCTTGAATAAAATATTTACTATCGAATCCGCCAACACCAGTATGTTAAACTGGTAAGATCGATACGATTTTCTAAACAAATTTTGTTACATGAAAATTATTTTAAATAAAATTACATATTTAAATAAAATAGAGATTTATAAATTGTTTATCAATTAGTTTAAACATTTGAATTTATAAATTGTTTAGATATTTAAGTAACAATTTTTATTTAAATTTATTACAAAAAGTACTATATATATATATATTAAAGTATTATGTATTAAAATCTGAACAACCACAAGACGGTCCGATTCTGAAAACCTTATATTTACCGTACATTAATAAAAATGATAATGAAATAAATATTTTGTTCATAAATAATAATAAAATGATATATAAATATTCATAAATCATTATTCATGTTGTCATAAAAGTATTGTTAATATGATTATTTGAAGTTTGGACTACATCACATTCACGTAATAAAGTATTTTCAATTTTAAAATTTATATTTAGGTTCAATAATCAATTTGGTCTGGTCAAACTGATACATAACTTAGTTACCTCGGACCAACCAAGTTGTGTCAAGTTTTTTGACTATTTTAAATATCACTTAAAAGTAATTCAATCAAAGTGGGCAGTATCCTAATTCAATCACCCGATTGATCCAAAGTAATTTCCTTATTTTCTTTAAATATAATATTTAATTTTATGAAATAAAAATATTTTATGATTCATATGTCTACACCAAATGATAGTATATTAGATTATAAATTATATATCTAAAGATGAACTATTTATTTTTATTTTATGCATATTAATAAAAAATAAATATAGTAATTAAAAAAATTAAGATTAATTGATTGAGTATACAATTTAAAAAATATTTTCAACGTTCAATATATATATATATATATACATATATATTTAACATGATTGAATTTTTGGATTAGAATATATATATTTGAAATAATTTTATTACTAAAAATCAAAAAGAAAAGATGTCATATACAAATTTGAAAAGTTTGTAACCATTAATTTAGGAACCCTCCGATTTTAAATGATTTATAATTTTTGAAACATGATACGTGCATTTAAAACTCATTAATTTAGGAACCATCCATTTCTTGAGAATGAATTAAAATTAAAATGTAAAATGTAAAAGTTACTGAAAATAGTATATAATAAATGTGGTTGATTTTTCCTTACTACTATTTATGGTAAATGTTAATTCTTATTATATATATATAGATTTGTTGTGTGATGAGTCCTATAAAAACGAACCAAGCAATAAGCCTATAACATGGACCAACAAAAGGGAGTATAGAAACCAATTAATTACGTAGAATTCGTCGATATTAATTAATTATTATCTCCTATTATTTTTAAATGTCATTTTGACTTTATTAACTATTTAACAAATAAATGTCGTTTTGGATTTTTTATATATATTTTTCCATTATTACCTTCATTTAGCTAATAAATACACTATGTCTTTTCATATTCACTATTTATTTTTTCCCAAAACATCATTCTCTATCTTCATTAAAAAGAGTTATTATTGGCGAAAAAAATATTCTTAATTACTATTCAACTTCTTAAAACGACACTTATTATAAATAGGAGAGAGTCTATGTTTTCGACTTTGATATAGGCCAAATGATAACGGTCAACCTCGAGATTATGCAGTTAAATTCAATATATATATTTTATGCATAATAGTTGTTCTTTCATCATTCCATGTTCATGCTTTACTTTGGTCAATCCTATTCTTCATGCTTTACCAATTTAGTCAAATCCCATGCCGAAATTATATATTGAGAATTTAACAAAAGTGTCACTTTGGTCAACTTCGACAGCAAAATGATGAAAACTTGTGCTATTGCGACAATAAGTAAAGTTAATGTGAAGATAAAAGTGAAAGACATTTTTTTTTTTTTAGAATTAAATGATGTCTATTGAGCTTGTTTACATTTCTTCGCTCCTTAATTTTTATGTGCGAAAGAACTCGTGATCATATTGTGTGCTTGTTGATTGACAGCAGAACCACTGAGCTTGATCTTGAGCTCAAGCAAATTTGGAAATCTACTCATTCTATATTTTTGAACAAGTGCGGTGATGACATTGTACTTAATGTAATCACATAACATACCAAAAAAAAAGGAGTTTTATAAAAATATATATTAATAATATTGATAATATTGAGCATAGTTGAATTGAGTTAAATTTGAATAAGATATTAAGTTAAAAGGAAATGACTGGTTAAATGTGATTAGATATTTGGATTTTGATGTATAACCATGCATATATACCCTTAAAATTGCAGTTGTCAAAGTTATAATGCAATGCTATGTTGATTTTCATTAAATTAAGAGATATACTTCATACTCTCCTATTAGAATAGTCACTATATATGTCCTCTCATTCAAAAGTCGCTGGAAAAGTCGGTCGATTGATTTGTCAATGTTGCTGTCTACTACATTTAATGGTCTTATTAATAGTACCACTTAAATACGAGTTGTTCGTTATCCAATTTGATCTTGGTTCACACAAAAATGCATCGAGGTGAAGGGTGTGTTTTCACGAAACTATTTGATTATGTTCGTGGTGATTTTATGTTGTTGATACGTGTCATTTGTATTTACACAAAATGTACTATTAGGCCTCATTTACTTTTGAGGATAGGATTGGATAATTTTATTCAAGTTACTTTACACATCAGCACTATGTCTATTGTTTACTTTGTGGGATGCAAAAATCTGAAATTTATCTGTGATGGATTAAATGATATGATTAAAACAAAATGTCTAATTTGCCCTTCACTTCAATAACTCCCCATAAGCTCGTCATTTCACCCTCTTTCTTAATTCTTACCCTTTCGTCGGCCACACAATATTCATTCAATTGAAAGCACACTGCAATTGAAACCACAAGAAAAAAAATTGAATTATGAGGAATCCGATTAATCGACACAAAATTGAAAAGGGCGACCAAAAATCATTGAAATACCGACGGAATAGGGCGACCATAAATTGAACAGGATGACCAAAAATTGAACAGGGCGACCAAAAATGGAATTACGATTCGAGGAATTTTGAGCTTACCGGACGTGCCGACGGAAATACCGAAGCAATATGGCTTCTTCTCCCACTCGTGCTCATCTCTGCTAAATCTAGGGTTTATGAACACGATTTACACGGAAAGTAAGAGCAAATCTGAAAGACACCAAAAATCTATTGAACTATGTAGTGTACATGTTTGCAATATCGAAAACACACACACACACATAAAACGGAGGAGATTCGAGCTTACAGTGGGCGACGAAATGAACGAGGTTTGTTTTTCTCCCTCTGCTGCACTTTCGAATTCAGTTCAGATGAGGCATTGAGTAACAGTGAAATTTTAATATTTATATGTTATGTTATTGTAATTAAATTGATGTTGAGGGGTATTTAAGTCTTTTCCCAAGCAAATTGGAGGACAAAATGGTCATGAGGAAGATGGGATTAAAAAATCCCAGGGTTACCCTCGGACAATTTTATCGTGAATTAAATGATAAGTTGGTAGGCCCTACAGCCACATGTGCGCCACATCTCTTGTATCCTGTCTCAATCCCTTTATGTAAACGTTAGATATTAAGGGATAAATTTTTTTATCTTATCCTATCAATCGAAGTAAACGACGCCTTATTAGATTCGCATATCCGAAGTCCGAACATAAACTGAAAATGTTGGCAACGGGGTGTATTTGTTTGGTATTTCAATAATATTTTGACACTTTTTTAAATTAGAGACTTCTTAAGATTTTCGTATATGTTTTTTCTTAAGAGATTTCAGCAAATCTTAAAAGGTTTTAACAAATTTTAGTGTCAAATAAATTAAAAATACATCAAGTTTTTGTAAGACTTTTTAAAATCCTAAAATAAATACCTCGAGACTTTAGAAAGTCTAAATTAAACACATCGGTATTTTTAAAGTGTTAAAAGATCTTTAGAAATCCCAAATGAAATACGCGCAGCTTGTTTGTTTGGATATTTATTGCATTGCAATTAGCTATAATCGAATTTTATTAGCTTGAAATATTACTCAGCTTGACCAATAAAAAATATTTAATAATAATTATTGGTAAATTGGTTGTGTGTGTATTCGGATATTTTTAACTTTTTCGTATATTAGAGTTATAATTATTTAGAATATTAAAAATAATATTTTATTTTGTAAGTTCAATGAAAGTTCACGTTTTAATTGAATGGGAGGTTTAAGGTGTGCTTGGATACAAATATATCTGATCATAACGATTTTTTTTTTTTTGTTAATGATCAGTGTTAATTTTGATAAATGTAGTATTGTTAATTGTTAGTGAAATTTTGAGTTTATATTAAAATAATATTTAAAATAAAATAATTAAAGTTAATTAGATGTAAAAGTCGAAGATACATGATGCGAAGTGATAATTAGTTAAATTATGTGAATAGATGAATATTGAATGAAAGCTGATGTGATGTGCAAGGAATAAAGATGATTGACTGATATTATTTATTATAGTGATAATATTGACGATACTGATGTTGATTTAAAGTTGAACTAATATTTGATCCTGTGCATTTGCACATATATAAAACACGTTTTTGTTTGTATTTATTAATTAGACATGTACTTCTATCATATAAAAATTATTACTTTTTCTTAAGCTATTTTTATCATTCAAAATTAATTGAGATTTAAATTTTATTATAACCATGCAACGTTTACATTAGTAATATGAATAAATAATTTATATATTTGTGGCATATATTAAGAAAATTAACATAAATAAAAAACATTATTGGTGTTTCTGATTTTTAGAAAAAAAAATAAAAATATGTGCAAATCATATTTTTTTTTCCAACAATGCAACCAAATATAGGGGTTACAACTCTGAATGTGTCAATCAACTTTAAGTTCCAACATTAACCGTTACACATTTGAATATTTGCTACCAATTTTATAATTAATTTAGTAACTGATCCAAAAAATAAATAATAAAAATATATATATATTAAGGTGTAACGGTTTTAGCAATTAGTGAGTAATTAATTTAAAAAAAAATGTAACTCCTTTTTTTTTTGTCGAATCGATAGAGATTTTATATAAAAGTGCACAACTGTGCAAAAGAGTAGCCACCAGCTGAATACAAACAGCCAACGGCTGAATACAACCAGCAAACAACTACATAAAATGGGAGGGCATGTCAAAAGACCGCCTAAAAACCAGACCCCAACAAGGTAATATTGGGGAACGCACAAAATGACACAAAACACTAAAAACGGCCCCCACAGGGTAATGCCCAAGTGCTCGGTCCCCACAAGATTAATAAAGTCGCACTCGGGCGTAACTCCTTTTGGAGGGAAATGAAAATAAGTTTTATTAAATATTTTATTAAATGCATCAACTAGTAATTATATATATATATATGTAGATTAGATTTTTGAGTATAAACTGAGTATGAATTGAGAAAATTTATAAACAAACACACCCTTGTTATTTTTAATATAATATTTTAAAAAATTAAAGAAATGATGTAAATATCATACATGTTTTTGTTTGGATGATACTTTTAAATTAAAAAAAATTCTAATAATCTTTACCAATATATAATCATAAATGTGTTTAAAAGGTGAAAATATTAGTGGTGGGAGCAATGATAATATTGAGGTGAACATAAGATTTTTAAAACAAAAGGCCACGTGATATATGGAGAAAATTGTAAATTTGGTCCTAGAACTTTTACTGTTTCCCACATTTGGTCTCAGGCACGCCAATTATGGTCCTTTTTTAATTTTCGTTGCTAAAATGGTCCCACTACGTCAAGACTTAACAGTCAAGTTTATAGCATGAGACCAAATGTGGAAAACAACAAAAGTTTTGGGACCAAATTTGCAATTTTCCCAAAGAGTAAATGATAAAAAATATTTAAATTTATTTTTATTAGAAACATTTTTTAAAAATTTTTTAGTAAATGTTAAAAAGGTATATTATCATTCTTTTCTAACAATACATTTAGTTTATTTTTTTAATAAATTATAAAAGATAAATATAACTAACATACAATTCTTTCACATTTTTTTATTGTAAATTAAAGTTTAACTTGATTTTTTTACATAAAATGATTATTTAATTGGGTAACTTAACAAAAGGTGTATAAAATAATTTTATTAATTAGTTCATGATAAATGAGATGCAAAAAAAAAATATATGATATATTTTACTATAAATAAGTGGGAACAAATGTCTATTTTCACTTAATTTAATGCCAAATTTTGTTTTATTATGCTTAAAATCGATTTTTTTTATGTAGATGTAATTTGCATAAATAATAGATTTTTCAATTTATAGTTGTCAAAATCAAATTAATAAATAAAAAATTATTAAAATTTTTTTTTTAATTCGTATTATTTAATAAAGTTTGTAAGGATATATATAAATTATCACATTATACTAATATTTAAAAGTGTAGACGCATTAGTATTATTGTAAGCATACTCACATTTTTTCTTATTTTGATAAATTGGATTATGTCTTTTGGTTTGCTTTATTTAATTAAAATAATATTGTTTCTAAATATTCTTTAATTTAAATAATATTCAAATAATTGCTAATATTTTTTAAGTAATGATGGTAAAAATATTAGAAAATAAAATAAATACCACACAATTACCAATCATATCGTTTACTTTTCCACCCAAAATTAAAATTTATCAACGCCTTTACTTTTCCACCCGATATTTATTTTTATAAAATTATTTTTAATGTTTATTTCTCGCATAATATCCATAGTAAATTAATTTTATTATGTCATTTCGGCTTTGAGTGAATGAGAGACACTTGAAGAACTCATTTTTTTTATTTTTTTTTTTACTCATTTTTTTTTTTTTTTGAAAAATTACAAAATTGGTCCCAAAAATTACAAAATTGGTCCAACCTAACGTCCTCACATGATCCCCGTCAATCTTGACGGACGTGAGACCATTTTGGCAACGAAAATTCAAAAAGGACCATAATTGGCGTGCCTGGGACCAAATGTGGAAAACAACAAAAGTTCTGGGACCAAATTTATAATTTTCTCTGATATATGTGTTACTATAATGCATGAATTTAATGTGTATGTGTTTGTAATAAAAAAATTATGTCATAATCACTTATACATAATAATTTAAATAATATAAAAAAAGTTAAAAAATATTTTTGTGCATAAAGGACAAGTCTTCTTCATCATCAGTCGTACATGTTATAAAACTAGAGAGATAAATAGAGAGAATAGGGAGAAGATATTATCTTGGTGTTACAAATGAAACTCCTATTAATAGGAAAACTTCTGATGACACAATCGTAATAATACAATTACATCAAGAGCAAAATAGTCATTCATATATATTATTTTATTATTTTCTATCTACTAATATCAATAATTCATAATTACTATCCATAATTCATAACTAATCTTAATAAATAAATATTTTACAATAGTACATAGTGATTTAAATTTAAAATGACCAACTAAAGCAATAAATATATTGACGGACATTNTAGGTCAATTTAAATTTTTTATATTATTAAATTTAAAATATATATATTTATTTACATATTTTCATGCTAGTTTTTCAGAACATATTTCTCCAGCTCTTGTGACTATTACTTGTAAGTAGTAACTGTAAATCTTCTTCCTTTTCAACTCTATATAAATGTGTACATTACATTAGCTCAATAGCTCCCTTCTGCATAAAATTTCCGGTTTCCCACGTTTCCACACCTTCCGCCGCCACGCCCACCGGAGATGGGCTCTTTCCAGCGCCCTCGCTTTCTCGTTCTCATTTTCATATATCTTACTATTTTCTCCGCCGTCTCTCACTCATTCCCTTTCCCCAGAAAAGAAAAACACAAAATTGAAGGCCCCATCAAAACCCTAGTAGTCCTGGTGATGGAGAATCGCTCCTTCGACCACATGCTCGGTTGGCTTAAGAGGGTCCGGCCCAACATCGACGGCCTCACCGGCTCTGAATTCAATCGGATCAACTCATCCGACCCGAACTCTCGGCCCGTGTTCGTCTCCGACGACGCCTTCTTCGTCGACTCCGACCCGGGTCACTCGATCCAAGCCATCAGGGAGCAGATATTCGGATCCAATGACTCGTCGGCCGACCCGGCTCCGATGAACGGGTTTGCGCAGCAGGCGGAGAGCATGGGGGTCGAGGGTTTGTCCAGAACCGTCATGAGCGGGTTCAAACCGGAACTTGTCCCGGTTTACACCGAGCTAGCGGACGAGTTTGCTGTTATGGACCGGTGGTTCGCCTCGGTGCCCGCATCCACTCAGCCAAACCGGTTCTATGTTCATTCAGCCACATCCCACGGCGCCTCCAGCAACGTTAGGAAGGACCTCATCGACGGGTTCCCTCAGAAGACAATTTTCGACTCGCTGGACGAAAACGACCTTAGTTTCGGGATTTATTACCAGAATATCCCGGCTACTCTGTTCTTCAAGAGCCTTAGGAAGCTCAAGCATATCATCAAGTTCCATAATTATAAGTTGAAGTTCAAGCTCCATGCTAAAACGGGGAAGCTCCCGAATTATGTGGTGATCGAGCAGAGGTACTTTGATGTGGACCTCTTTCCGGCAAACGACGATCATCCTTCTCATGATGTGGCGCTCGGGCAGAGGTTTGTGAAGGAGGTCTACGAGACTCTTAGGGCGAGTCCTCAATGGAAGGAGATGGCACTTTTGATAACTTATGATGAGCACGGTGGGTTTTATGATCATGTGCCGACTCCTGTTTCTGGTGTGCCCAACCCTGATGGGATAATTGGGCCCGACCCATATTATTTCCAGTTTGATAGGCTTGGTGTGCGTGTTCCCACATTGTTGATTTCACCCTGGATTGACAAAGGCACTGGTATGAACTGTTTACTGCTAATGATTTATTTTGACAGTAGCTTATTGTTTGATCAAGAGGAATGTTTTTGAACTACTAAGTTTCCTTAGTATATATGAGGTATATATTCAGATAATTTATCCTTGAGTAGGCAATAGTTATGTGGTCGTTCGCCGGGTTGTTTATGTGGTCTATGTTAACTAATTGTGAGGGGTTTGCCAGAATATAGTGTCTTCAATTATATGAGCTGAATAGTCATAGTAGAGAAATGGATCTGTCTATGGAAGTTGAAGCAAGCATGTCATATGTATTCAATTGAACCCCTCGATTAGCTTTTGCTTGATTTTTCTTTCTCTGCCACTCAGAACAACTCGTTCTGTAGAAAATTTTCTGTTACGAAACTTTTGACTAGATTGTAGTGTCACAAACTTTCTTCCTAGAGGTATCACCGCACTTAAATTAGAGTAACTATGCTAGTCGTTTTATCAGTTAGCATGCTCCAGATGGTAGCAAAACTCACAAACAACCACTTCAAATGTATAATATATCCCTTGTATTCAGGTCTTGCTTGTACCAGCATATAGGTTAATCAAAAAACCATTCCATTTAAGAAGCTTGACTTTCTAGGTTTTTGAAAGTACTTTTTTCATTGTTATTATCTATAAGAAAAATGATACTGAGAATCAGTTGCTCATTGAAGATGATTGGTTGGATGCTTAGCAAACCTTAATTAAACTTGGAGCTGAAGATGCTGCCTAAATCTGTTTCAAGATTTGAAGCATAAATACTCTAAATTGAATAGGGATAGTTGTAGTTCCTGGAATTTAGGAGTGGAGAAATTGCAGCTTTTCTTAACCCAGATTTCAAGGGATATGGATGACTAATGGACGGGTTTATTGAAAGTTAAATGGTTTTTTGAGGTAGACAATGGACACTGAAATATCGAATAGAATGTCAGAGATACTGTTCATCTTGTTGAGATTATGTGCTGACCTCACCCATTTCTTAATACTATGAGTGCTACACTATGAAATGAATCAGCTGATGCCAGAGATCACAATCAATATTTGCCAAGTACTTTTTTGAAGAGATTGTGGAACGAGAAAATTGCGGGGTTAACTTCTTTTTCTTCACGAGGGCGGCTCACTTGACTTCTTTTCTCACTGTTGTTGGATGAATGAGCTAAGGTTTTGGTTGGAATCTTACATGCTTTCAATGGGATCATATGATCAGTAAATGTTACTGAGTAGATGTTTTCTAACACAAACTAAATTGATATTTTAAGTGAGACTTGAGAGTTTGTTCTCCAGTGAAGCAGGAGCAGCTTCGGTTTCTTTCTCTACAATATTATTTTGTATTTAATTTTCTTCACCAATGATCTTACATTTATTTATTTTGTTGCAGTGATTCATGAACCGAACGGCCCAACCCCATCTTCACAATATGAACACTCATCAATCCCAGCTACCGTGAAGAAGCTTTTCAATCTTCAATCAAATTTTCTTACTAAAAGGGATGCATGGGCTGGGACTTTCGAGAAATACTTTTACTTGCGTGATACTCCCCGAGACGACTGTCCAGGTCAGAACTTTCTTCCCTATGCTGTTGAAGCAACTTTTTCTTTACTGACAAACTCTATGTGCCGTACACATTCTCCCGTGAAAGATTCCCTCCTTTTTCTATTTCCCGACTGAAAAAAAAAAAGAGCTGCATTTTTTTATTTTGGTCCTCTCTCTCGAGTTGTTTCTAGATGCTGTTGACGTTGTGTCTGAAAACAAAAAAACTGAAACTTTAGAATTTTCTCCAGAGACACTGCCGGAAGTTAAGACGACGTTAAGGTCACATGGACCTAAAGAAGACATTAAACTGTCAGAATTTCAGCATGAGCTCATTCAATTGGCTTCACAGCTTAATGGTGATTATATGCTTAACACATATCCTGACATTGGACGAGGAATGAACGTGGGCACGGCCAACCGGTATGCGGAGGATGCGGTTAGAAGGTTCTTGGAAGCTGGAAGAGCTGCTCTTAGAGCTGGAGCTAATGAGTCAGCACTCGTCACCATGAGGCCCTCACTCACCACCCGGACGGCTCAAGTACGTGTTGGTCCCAGTCATGAGTCCATTTGATTTGATAGGCACTTTCTTCTATGTGTGTGTGTGTGTATATATGTTGTGGAGTGTGTATATATTATATGTGCTGTTTACCTAAATGGACCGTGAAAGATTGTATTTGATTATTGCACCATATTTGAAATGATGTCACAACTCACAACGTATACGACTTGCAAGGATTTACATTTGGTTAAAAACGAACCTATTTTATTTTATTTTATTGTGGGTGTTTCACATTGAAAATATTTTACAAGAACAAAACTCCAAACCAGTATAATATACCATACAATAGCTTGTGTAAGGCACCCGAAGTTTGGAAGCCCAAATATCATAAAAACACCATATGCACCAGGCAAAAGAACAAACACAGCTTGCCAATTGCTGCATCAGTTGGATGTAGTCTGATTTGAAGAAACATTGTACATATCACAAAACCTACAAAAGCAACCTGTGTAAATGCGCCTAAGAGAAGATTGGACAAATGATTTAGGCTAGTGTAGGAAGGAAAAGACAGTCACCACTTCACCGTAAAAATGGTTCCCCCACAATTACATCAACGTTCAGTAAATTGTATTATAAACGGTTAGAAGTTATGTTTGTCTCATACCGATTAGTTATTCGGTTGTTATTGTGTATGAGTGTTGGTTGGACATTCTCTCCCTTTAACCTAGCTTTTGGAAATGAGTTCTACCCCAACACATTTATCATAATATCAGAGCCATGCTAGGGTTTTGGGTTGCCATATCTGCATATTCTCAGTTTGCTTTTGGTTTCGTGGTGCCTATTTCGGGTGCGTCGAATCTCACCTCTCACATAGGTTGACTCGTCGACGCTAGACCAACCTTCGAGTGAAGCGTCGTTAACGTTCCTTTATTGCAACAATAGATTACATTTATATTCCTAAAATTGTTTGGACCATTCTGGTTGGAGTGGTGCTAAGATTGAAGAAATGAATGCTCTTCATCATAGTGGTACGTGGACATTAATTAATTTACATGTTGGCTCATGATTAGGCTCGATAAATAAATGGTTTTACATAATTTTCTAAACTATATTAACTTGGCTCGACTCTTAAGGTTCAAGCTCGTTTATTGGCTCAATCAGGTAATGAGTCGTTTCGGCTCGACTCCTTTACCTGCACGACACGAACACGATATGATTAGCAAACATGATTATATAGATAAATGATATGATGGACACATCGTAGCGTAACCTGAAACACAACACGAGAAGTAAGAAAAGAAAAAGTAATCACATTTGAACTCATTATCTTCTTTATTAAACCAACACGATACAATATTTGATGATGTTAGTCATCATCCAACTCGCTGATCTGATCTGAATTAGCTAAATTATATCCAAAAGTAATTTTTCAATTCTATACGCATCATTCCCAAATAAACCATGTCCCAAATCCAATGTTCCTACTTGCCACCTTACGCTTAAACCCCATAAAGCCCTATTGCTTCCCGACACGTGGACAGCCTTTCTTTTATTATGAAAAATCACACACGTTTTCCTCATTGTCATTGGAGAGAAGATCACGGAGTAGAAGAATTCTTAACGGATTAACAAAAGGCATTGCGTAAGGGGAATCGTAGGGTCATTTGACTCATTTCCTTTTGTGCATTTAAAAATAAATAAAAATAAAAATAAAAATTGAGGTCTTCTTGCCCCTTGGATTTCGGATACGTGTAACGCTGCGATTGATTATTTGCAACTAATTTTCACGAGATTTTCTACAGTAAAAGAATACTGTTTCCATTCATAAAAATAATATCAATAAATAGAACCAAAACAAATCCGATTAATTTTCTCAATCAGCAGACGGAGCTCGGAGAAAAAGGTTCGGCAATGGCGGCCTCCAACGGGAGCGAGTATTTCGAGCTTGACGTCGACGAGGGGGAGAACACGTTCATCCGGCCGTCGAACGCCGAATCGGTGGCGGAGGACGAGGAGGAGCTCCGGTGGGCGGCGATCGAGCGGCTCCCATCGCAGCAGCGCTCCAATTTCGCGCTGGTGAGGCGCACGGCGTCGGATTCCGGCGGAGGTGGCGGCGATGGGGGCGGGACGGACACCGTCGACGTGAGGAAGCTGGATCGGTTCAATCGGGAGCTTGTTGTAAGGCGGGCGCTCGCCACCACCGCGCAGGATAATTTCCAGCTGCTTTCCGGGATTAAAGAGCGCCTCGACAAGTAAATATTGATTATTTAATCATTTTGCTGGATAATGATGATATAGTACAATCTCTCACGTCCTCTTCGTACATACATGCATAGCGTCTTCTCGATTCATTCATTTTTTTTTATTTATTTATTTATTTATTTATTTATTTATTTTTTTTTAAGAAACAATTTTTTCAGTTTTTTCATATTTCAAATAGAAAATAGACTAAATAGTATGCATATATGTTCACGTTTTAATCTAAAATCATGTTTCAATTCATATTTCATTCCAACATGTTCCAATTTATGTTTCATCCCATTCAATGAATAACATGTTTCCATCATGATGCATCTAAATGAAATAAAGAGTTTTTATGTTTCATTTTTTATGGACATTATGTGTTGAAAGCTTGAAATTGATTGTTATTTTATAATTATATAATATGGTTCAGGGTGGGTTTGGAGATGCCAAAAGTTGAAGTCCGATTTGAGAATCTGCACATTACTGCTGATGTGAAAATAGGCTCAAGGGCTCTGCCAACTTTGGTGAACTATTCTCGTGACATGCTTGAGGTAAAATCACTTAAATTTAAATTTTCATGAAAAGATAAAAAAAATGTCGAATAATTTTTTTATTTAATTTCATTTTTTGTATAAGTACTGAAGTTTTTGTTGGTGCAGCTTTTGTTGACTAAATTGAAGATATTTCACCCAAAAAGATATGCACTGACCATCCTCAACAACATCAGTGGGGTGGTAAAACCAGGAAGGTAAAGTATATCTCATGGACTTGAATTTACGGGGCTTCTATTCATGCATTGTATGCTAATTCAGCAAAATAGTAAAATAAGCCCAAAAATTTGAATTATGTAATTTTGCCCTCGATAGCATAAAATTTCCAATAACTAATAATATTGTGAACATTATGCTCAAATATGTGAGTTCGTGCCTATAAACTAATTCAGCAAAATAACAAAATATGCCAAATGATTTGAATTATATATCTGTTTTACCCGCAATAGTAGGAAATATCCACTAACTAATAAAATTGCGGACATTCTGGCCATACATGGGAGTTATTGGATATATATTGTAATTTCTCATTATATATCTGTTGTGCTTGACTTTCATTAGACAGTGAACATTTATTTATTAGAGCATCTCCAATGTTATAGCTTTGAAAGACAATGATTTTTAACACATGTCAATCAATGATTGTAATTTTAATCCATGTAGGAATAATGTTAAAAGAGTAGAAATTTGAATCAAACTATTATCTCCAATGCATCAATTTGATAAGAAGTTATTTGTATATGTGGACCAATTAAAATAATCATTAATACAAGAACAATAAAAAATTAAATCAAATATAGAGTGAATTGATTAGTCATCATGTTTAACATGGTGTTAGATATTAGAAAGTGTGTTCAACATTGTCTAACATTAAATGCTATCCACCTCATCATGAAAGAGTTCATGACAAGATGCATTGGAGAATAAATTAGTAATACACTTTCAAAAGTTGATGATATGGATGAATTTTTATGAAATTAACAGCCACATTGGAGATGCTCTTAGTTTTTGACACTTGCATGAATATATTTTATATTAATCTTGTCTACTAGTTCAAAACATGCATGATGTAAGGAGTGCCGCATGATATTCAATTTTCATTTTTTTTTTGGCTTTATTTGGTGGTATCTCACGTGGCTTAATATTTCTTAAGAATGTCTTCATCCACCAAATAAAAATACAATAGTCACTCATATAAATTTTTCTCACCTTAATCAATACGATTTCAAGTAAAAATCAATCATTACAACACACTATGTAGTCTATGTTATAAATAGTTATTCATATTCTCACATTATTTTAACTGCAAATTAGTATTCTAAGATTTTCATATTATATTAACATTAATTGTTATGTCTCCATCATTAATCATACTTTAAAATTTCCCAAAATAATTGTCATCCCATCTCACTAGCAAAATGAACAGAAGTGTTGGACACTATATCCAATCAGATTCAAACACATTTGTCTATCTAGCAATCAAAATTCATTCATCTCATTTTTATCTCTTGCATTTCCTAAATATTTGCAACATGTATATATATTTTTTAATTAAAACCCAATTATCACTACACATTTTTCTATAAAATTTACAATTCTATATTCACTTCTAACTAAACAGTCTCACAATCATTTGAATATAATTCACATTAATTTACTATGAGTATGCACTTCATTCGTGTATCACGAGAAAATTGATACTTTAGTTCTGACCATGAAATAATTCATTTTGGAAAAGCATATCATCTGATCATCTGTTTGAACTCTTGTTAGGATGACTCTGCTTCTTGGACCACCAGGTTCTGGCAAGTCTACATTACTTCGAGCTCTTGCTGGGAAGCTTGATAGAAGCTTGAAGGTCAGTATATGCTAGAAACTGCTCCCCTTTTACTTGAATAATGACTTTCACCTCATTAAGGTTGCCTGTGTAGACTAATACTTAATAGGACATCAATGAAATTGCTGCCAGCATCTATCGAAGTCTTCTAAAAGCATGTGCATATGATTGTGAAATTATGCAAGAATCAATTTCAGTGTACTTGAGCTGAAATTTTGCCAAAATGTATCTGAAAGCCCTTGAACTAGTGTTCATTTTGCATGTCCCTCTCATGCTTATTGTGCCTAAAATCGAAAATTTCATGTAAATTGACAGAAAAATGGAACTATCACATACAATGGCCATGAGTTTAATGAGTTCTTTGTTCAAAGAGGTTCGGCTTATATAGGCCAGACGGATAATCACATTGCGGAGCTAACTGTAAGAGAAACACTTGATTTTGGTGCTAGATGCCAAGGTTCTAGTGAAGGTTTTTCAGGTTTGCTTCCTGTTATTCTGTCCTTTCCTTAAACTTGTTCTTATGTACTTTACTTGTTCCCCAGTTAACTATCATTCAAAGTAAACTTAGAAACACTAATGATATGTTTCGCAGTTAGGCTCTATGTTCACCCAATACACTGAATTATATTTAAAGGTTCATGGAGACAAGTATACAAGTTTATTAGAGTTGAATGAATAGAAAATAATAATTTCGATATAAATGTTTGATGGATACTGGTCTTAGATTAGAAAACCCAAATACGTTACAGTATCTGCGTATCATCTGTGAATGTTCCCAAGATAGCTTGTTGTGTGAATTACAGAATGTATAGAATTTTAACATCCTGTAGCTCAGTGTTCAATGAGCTTAAGTTAATTTTAAGTTCAACTATTTCTTTAGACCTTTTAGATGAAAAGTTAGTTGGACTGTGTGTTTTCGTGAGTACGTCTGTGTATCTTTTCTAGAAAACCTCTAGATCTGTTTCTCTGCTGGATATTCTGCTATTCGATTCAACTTCCATGAAGAGGAAGTAGATTTCCTTGTTTAAGAAAATTAATTTATGCATTTTGAAATTTGTATGGCAGTATACATGGAGGATCTTACCCGTCTTGAGAAGGAAAGCAATATACGCCCCCGCCCTGAAATAGATGCATATATGAAGGTGGCCTTTTAGACATACGTAAATGTGTCGATGGTTGATCTTATTTATTCATTTTTCTTATCTTCAACATCTAAAATAACAAATTGTTCAGGCATCATCTGTTGGTGGTAAAAAGCACAGCGTGTCAACAGACTACATGCTAAAAGTTCTTGGTCTAGATATATGTGCGGAAACATTAGTTGGTAACGACATGCTTAGGGGTGTTTCAGGAGGACAGAAAAAAAGAGTAACCACAGGTTTGTCTATCCATCTCCTATACATATATTCATATGACCTGTATTTTCTTATTTATAGACTTGTGATGGTATGATAACACAATTCACAATTTATTTAAATTTTCTTTGAGCACCTCATCGACTTGTCGTGCATGCACTCTTTGTTTTAGGATATATAGTTCAAATTATTGATTTCAACACATGTAATCTGTAATCAATAAATTGTTGCTAGAATTGTTGCTAGGACTTAACATGAAATGGTATATGAGGTCTACAGTATTCCTAGTGGATAACCAATTTTCGATTAGTAATCTCAGGCTCTCAGCTCATTGTGATTTATGTAGATGTAAGTCTTTATGCTGGAGAACATTGATCTAAAAGTCGGAACACAAAACATGATTTTCTGGGTACTCTAAAATTTGGCAGAGCGACTCTTTTAGTAAAAATGATCAGATGACAAACTTAATTTGAATTCACTTAAATATCTTGAGAATATCAGACAGTTCCCATACTAATCTTTTGTATGTGGCTTTATGGGATTTTTAGTTTTATGGTTTTACTTTTCCATATAGCTTGTTTGAAACCAAACTGGGGGTAGTATCCAAATATCCGGTAAGATGACCAATCGGCAAGTTTTTGCTTTGACAAATATTGTTGTAAGAGGAGACATACTCCTAAGGGTTTCATACAAATTACACATAATTGATTTTCTTTTGTACTAGGGAAGTCTGAAAGATATATCTGCTTAGAAAGTTTGCCTTGTTCTGATACTGGTGATTACTGATAAGTGAGTAAGTGACTATGAGGGAACATCTCTACCATATGCTCTCTTCATTGAAATATTAATGTTGGTCAGTTTTACACAGGAGAAATGGTGGTTGGGCCTCGGAAAACACTTTTTATGGATGAAATATCTACGGGGCTTGACAGCTCTACAACATTCCAGATTGTTAATTGTATAAGGAACTTTGTTCATCTCATGGAAGGGACAGTTCTCATGGCCCTTCTTCAGCCTGCTCCTGAGACGTTTGATCTTTTTGATGATCTCATACTACTTTCTGAAGGTCACCTTATATATCACGGGCCCCGTTCTGAAGTCGTCGAGTTCTTTGAATCATTAGGTTTCCGGTTGCCACCACGAAAGAATGTAGCTGATTTTCTACAGGAGGTAAATTTTGATTTTTATTATTTTTTTTTTTGTGGTTCCAAATGTTTTTCAAGTTTTTCTTACCTACCCTTCTACATCTAGGTAACATCCAAAAAAGATCAAGCTCAATACTGGGGTGATCATTCCAAACCATATGAGTTTGTTCCGGTTTCAAAATTTGCTGAAGAATTCAGGAATTCAAGATTTGGTCAGAACTTGAAAGGTATTCTCTCTGATCAGTATGATAAATCGAAGAGTCACCCTTCAGCTCTGCCCAAAACCAAGTATGCTGTACCAAAAAGGGAGCTACTTAGAGCATGCTTTAACAGAGAGTTGCTTCTAATCAATAGGCATCGCTTTCTGTATATCTTTAGAACGTGTCAGGTACACCACTTTCTTTGTTTTATACTTTGGGATGGTAATTCAGTTCTTATCATGTGACATAGCTAGTGTACTCATTTTCTTCGAATTTTTGTTCAAAGCATGAAGAGGATAATGGGATTTTTTCAAGTGAACAAAACTACAAAAGAATTTTCTTCATATGTTAATGAGAAGTGAAAGAAGAATATATACAGTATCCTATTGATTGAATTTGACAAAGATTTTCTTTATAATGATGTATCCATATTGTATTCCCAAAATCTGGCCACAGAGAAACAAAGAACTCTTAAGGAATCTATCATAATACATAGAAATCACCACTCTTGCATCAATCCTCTACATAATTTCAAAACAATTGCTGCTTCCACCAGGTTTCAAAGAATCATGTCCATAAGTCATAAGTTATGCACGACGATATTGAGAATCAATTGTTAAATTATCGTGTATAATGCAGCTTAGTGAACACTTGGGTAGTTGCCAAGGGAAACATTTTTTATGGTGAAGTAGGGACTAAGCTGTTTTTTCTCTTTGCCATTAGGACATTTCCCTAAACTATTTTGTCCATTTTTCTCTTTTACTTATGCGCATTTACAGGTTGCATTTGTAGGTTTTGTGACGTGTACAATGTTTCTTCGAACTAGACTACATCCAACTGATGTGATGAATGGCGAGCTTTATCTTGCGTGTTTGTTCTTTGGCCTGGTGCATATGATGTTCAATGGATTCTCTGAACTACCATTGATGATATTTCGACTTCCAGTATTCTACAAGCAGCGGGATAATCTTTTCCATCCTGCATGGGCATGGTCTTTCTCGAGTTTCATACTTCGCGTGCCTTACTCGGTGATTGAAGCTATAGTATGGTCGTGTGTAGTATATTATACTGTAGGCTTTGCACCTGGAGCTGGAAGGTTTTGTTCTTATTAACTCCTTCAGTTTAATGTAATTATGAACTTTATCAAACTCACTTATTCCTCTAAACTTTTGCAGGTTCTTCCGTTTTATGCTTCTACTATTTTCAGTACACCAAATGGCGTTGGGTCTCTTCAGGGCAATGGCTTCTATTGCAAGAGATATGATCATTGCTAATACTTTTGGATCAGCTGCATTATTGATAATATTTTTGTTGGGTGGATTTATTCTGCCAAAAGGTACGCCATTTTCATCCTAACTATGATGCTTAATAGATATTTGCTGCAAATGATAACCATTTTTCTTCAGAAATGATAAAACCTTGGTGGGTGTGGGCCTTCTGGGTGTCTCCTCTATCATATGGCCAGCGTGCAATATCGGTTAACGAGTTTACTGCCACAAGATGGATGGAGGTGTGCTCTCATATCATTTGCCTATTCCAATGTATAGTAATTTGCAGAACTTTTTAACTGTGAGGTGCATAAAATTATTTATTTTTATTGATTTTCATCCGCAGAGATCCGCAGGGGGTAATATTAGTATTGGAAGCCAGATTCTCAGCCTTCACAGTTTACCTAATAGCAATTATTGGTATTGGATTGGAATCGGTGCCTTACTAGCGTATGCCCTTTTCTTCAACGTCATTGTGACCATGGCTCTGGCCTTCCTTAATCGTAAGTTGTTCACCACTTATGATATATGTGGGACATAGCTAAGTTATCATAACCTTTTCCGATGTCTGTCATATTGTCAAGTAAATCCCAGAGGTAGAGATATGATAGGTATAGATTAAAACTTTTATAAATTGTCACTTAAAAAAAAATAAAAAAATCAAAGCCTTACCAAATCGACACATTATTCACCAAAAATTATTATTTATTCGCTCACATATTTTTAATTACATTGATACTATTGAGATTGAATTAGAGGAATCGTGGATTTTGAGTTAAATATTTATATGCAATCATAGTTCCATCAAAAAATAAATATCTTGCAAAACATTGAAATATACTATAAAAAATCAGCAAATTATGTAGAGTTCATAGTTTATGGACCAGCTTATCTGGTGTGAGAATAATTCTTGTAGCATTAAACTCGGAGTTCTGAAATCTGACAACAAATATTATTCCTTAATGAAATATGCGTATCTCCTTAACATCCCCGTTGTGCGCTTGCAGCTGTTAAAAAATCACAGACAATTGTTCCATCAGATGATGAAAAAGAACATCCAGCTAGTCACGGTAAATATCAACAAACTAGAACACCTTGCCAATACTATGCATTAACTATGATATGTGCTATAGTTCATTATGATACCTGATTTTGCAGGACAAGCAGAGAACTCCAGGTCGAATACTACACCAGCCAATAGTGGAACACAACAGAAAGGAATGATTCTGCCATTTCAACCATTGACCATGACATTTCATAACGTGAACTACTTTGTTGATATGCCAAAGGTAATCATTTTATCAATCAAGCTTCACCTTTGGCCATTCTACATTTGTAGTAGCCAATTAATATATGCGTGTGCGGATTGATAGGAAATGAGTTCACAAGGTATACCAGAAACAAGGTTGCAACTATTATCCAATGTCAGTGGAGTATTCTCGCCTGGTGTTCTCACAGCATTAATGGGGTCAAGTGGAGCGGGGAAAACCACGTTGATGGATGTTCTTGCTGGTAGGAAGACTAGTGGGTACATTGAAGGAGATATAAGAATATCTGGTTACCCAAAGGAACATAAGTCTTTTGCTCGTATATCGGGATATGTTGAACAAAGTGATATACACTCGCCTCAGGTGACGGTTATCGAGTCCCTCTGGTTTTCTTCATTTCTTCGGCTTCCAAAGGAAGTGAATGAAGGACAGAGAAAAGTGAGATACTATATACTTCAGGATATTCGTGCAGTGTTTATTATTTCAATACTTTTATCTAGAATTTTTCTTTCTGTTTAAAACAAAATTCATTTCAGGAATTTGTTGAAGAGGTGATGCAATTAGTGGAACTCGACTCTCTGAGGCATGCCTTGGTAGGCATGCCAGGCAGTTCCGGCTTGTCTACAGAACAGAGGAAGCGTTTAACAATTGCGGTGGAGCTTGTTGCAAATCCATCAATCATTTTTATGGATGAACCTACATCTGGTCTAGATGCACGAGCGGCAGCAATTGTCATGCGAACAGTTCGCAACACAGTCGATACTGGAAGAACTGTAGTGTGCACCATACATCAACCGAGCATTGAAATATTTGAAGCCTTCGATGAGGTTCTTCGAATACCACAATCTAAATATACTTGATACCAGTTAAAAGGAAAATAATAACAATAATATATAATATTTTTGCAGCTTCTTCTTTTGAAGCGAGGGGGGCGAGTGATATACGGTGGGAAGCTTGGTGAGAGATCACTAACCATGATCAATTATTTTGAGGTAAACCTTATTCTATAATACTAAGCTTTCTGGGAAGGTTTTCTTTTTGTTCATCATTATATGGGATTTCTTTGGCATCAAATTTTTGTTAACATGTCGATAGATGGCTTTCATTTTCCAGTTCTTATGACTCTTCAATTTACTCTCACATTTCTATTACTATTATTTTTCTGGTTTAGTATTAGAAATCCGATTATTAAGGTCTTATTCATTGAGTGAGCAGACACATATGTTAGTGCACATCAGTGACTAGAATATGTGATGTGTCACATGCACATTTCCTTCTTTATTGTTTTGGTGAGCTCTTTCTCTGTGCATTCTATTTCCCCAGAGTATAAGTGGAGTTTCTCCAATATCTGATGGATACAACCCTGCAACTTGGATGCTTGAGGTAAGCACGCCCGCTATGGAAGAGCAGATTCGTCAAGATTTCGCCGTGATATACCAAAATTCGCAGCAATATCGGTATAAAAATCAATATGATGCTGTTTTGCTTTTCTAAAACAAGATTTGTGGGATGATATAGTTTCTACCATCTTTGGATTTTCCAATTTTTTTATATGTGGTATGTTCAAGTTTTATCAATTATGATGCAGGAATGTCGAAGCTTCCATTCAAACCCAGAGTATTCCTCCCGAGAACTCGGAACCTCTGAAATTTGATTCAACATACTCCAAAGACGCTATTTCTCAATTCAAAATATGTTTATGGAAACAAAATCTCGTCTATTGGAGGAGTCCAGCGTACAACGCTGTGAGATTGTTCTTTACAACAGTTAGTGCTGTTATAATCGGCACTATATTTTGGGATGTTGGTTCAAGAAGGTAATTTGTATTGCAGCAGTTCAAGACTTTTATTTTTCTTTTCATAACCCATTGATAAAGTTTCTTTCAATCTTTTTTATGGGTAACTTTGCATCTTAAATATAAGACAATTTCTAATAATACTGCTTCAGTTCCATGTTATATTACGTACACTGAATAACCAAATGGAGATACTGCAGTGGCAAGTTGTTTCTTTTTGTCTGTTGAGGACAAACTTAACTCGTTAGTTACTAACAGTTAGGCAGTTCTGTTGAACAGTAAAACTCCTTTCTTATCTTTTGGCACTTCCACTATTTTTTTCTTAGTTATCTCAGGGTCCAAGAATAAATTGGACAGCAATGTGTTTGCATTATGAGAATATCATTAGTACTGTCTTTTTTCTTATATTCCTGGAGATATTAATAAAGTGTCCAAGTGGTTATGCAGGGATTCAACTCAAAACTTGTTCGTTGTAATGGGAGCTCTTTATGCTTCAGTCATGTTTCTGGGGATCAACAACTCTTCTTCTGTGCAACCAGTAATATCTATTGAAAGAACTGTTTTCTACAGGGAGAAAGCTGCTGGGATGTACTCTCCATATCCTTTTGCATTTGCCCAGGTTATATATGGACCCCACTAAATTTATGAAGCATCATACTTAGCATTTCTAATTATTGATTAGAAAATAAATTTATAAGGAGCGGCTCATTTGGTTTAATCAATCACATACATCAACTCATTGGATACATAATATATTATCTGAAAACCTCTAGAGAGCCTTATAGTTTTTACGTGATAAATAAGGTTTACTTAATAACAAATGCATTCTCCAGGGCATTGTGGAGATTCCGTACATCTTGTTGCAGACAGTGCTATATGGTATCATTACGTATTTTATGGTCAACTTCGAGAGAACAGTTGGTACGCTTCTATATTTTATTTCTCCTATGTTTTTCTTTAGTTTTCTGCCTTGTTTCCATGATCTTAAACAGAAGTGTCGGGAAATTATGTACAGCAGACAATATTTCAGTGGTCTATGAATTTGATTATAACCGAAATGTGAAAAGTTCCAGCAAAATGATGATCGTGTGCTGTATACTTCTCTCTGTATGTTGCAGGCAAATTTTTTTACTATCTCCTGTTTATGTTCCTTACATTCACATACTTCACCTTCTACGGGATGATGGTTGTTGGTCTTACTCCTACACAAAACGTGGCTGCCGTTGTTTCGTCTGCATTTTACTCGCTGTGGAATCTTCTCTCTGGCTTCCTTGTCCCTAAACCAGTAAGTACAGATTAAATTTTCACACACCACACATAGTTAAGAAAATTTATCAAGTATTTTTTTTTTTTCTTTGGAAAATTTCGACGAAAGTAATATCAAGGTGCTTCATAATTTTATTTATTTACTTGTTTTATATATTTATTTTCACTCAGAGTATCCCGGGATGGTGGATATGGTTCTACTATATTTGTCCGATTGCATGGACGTTGCGTGGGATAATTACATCCCAGCTTGGTGACGTGGAGACGAGTATCGCAGGGCCGGGATTTGAGGGCAGTGTGAAAGAGTATATCAATTTTCGTTTCGGTTATGATTCGGGAATGCTTGGAGTTAGTGTCGTTGTGCTTATTGGATTCAGCATTCTCTTCTTTGCGGTCTTCGCAATCTCCATGAAATTACTGAACTTTCAGAGAAGATGAGCTGAACTGAACTGTATAGTAGCTTTACGCTTTCATGCACTTCATGGAAACTGACTCTAGTTATTCAAGAAGGATTTTAAAGGGAGGTTTTGGTCGATGACTTGGTCTGTTGATTGACAGAACTGAAGTGAACTCTATGGCAGATGCTTGTGTGGTATTATGGTAAGTGCACTTTGCAATCCAATGCAGGGTCAAATATGCTGGTTTTAGACTAATTTGAGACAAATATATTGAAGGTATTACTTGCAGCTACCATCGTGTTGTGATTTGTGAATGAATACATATAGTTTGTGATTTGTGAATGAATACATTTAGTCAAAGTACACAAAATCTGAAGTATTACGCTGAAGAACTGTTATATGTTCACGTGTTGATTGTTTCCTTAACTAAACACGATCAAAGTACTTGATAAACAAATCCAAGTGCCAAAATTCAAAGGTAATTAAAGAAAGAATATTTAGATTAAATAACGAAAGGAAGTGTTGACAAACAGCACAATAGTAATGTATTAAGAGCATCTCTAATACAACTTTTGACATTATAAAAAGTCATCCATATCATCAATTTTTGAAAGTGTATCTCTATTTTTTTCTCCAATGCATCTTGTCATGAACTCTTTAATGATGAGGTGAATGTCATTTAATGTTGACAATGTTGAGTACACTTTCTAATATCTAACACCATGTTAAACATGATGACTCATCAATTTACTTTATATTTGTATTAATTTTTTATTTATTTTGTACAATGAATACAAATAACTTCTTATCAAATTGATGCATTGGAGATAGTACTTTCATTGAAATTTCTAGTCTTTTAACATTATTCCAATGTGGATTAACATTACAATCACTAATTGACATGTGTTAAAAATAATAGTATTTCACACTTATAGCATTGGAGATGCTCTAAGATAGTAAAACTCAATCGCTATTCACCGCCCCCCTTTTACTAGTCACCGCCCCCCCCAATTACTTTTTTGCCCTTAACCCTTTTTTTGATTTCATCTCTCTAAACTTTCTATCTCTCTAAACTTCCGAACTTCAACGAACGATTCGAGCGTCAAAAAAAATCCGAAAAAATGTCGAAAAAATTCTACGGCCTCGGCAAAGGATTCTTCTCCAACAAGGTAATTTTTTTTTTTTTTTTTTTGAGCCGAACTATTTTTAAAAAATTTTTTGAAAACCTGTTGAACCGTCCGGCCGGCGGTTCCGGCCGGCCGCGGTCCGTCCGG